TACATTGACCGCTTTAAATATGCATATTTCGATGGCATATATTGTGACGTACAAGGCGAATGAGTATTATAAATGTAATAGGGGCAAAGAGAGTTTCAGATTCCCTCCCTCGGTTTATGTGATCTTGTTGATAAATCCACTTGACAAACAATGCGAATATTTTGAACGAGAACAGGATGCTCTCTTATAGAAGCTGCCTAGTTGCATCATTATTTACAAGTAATAGCTCATAGTTATCTACGAGTACATCCTCTGCTGGAAACATACGAGTTTCTTTTCTCGAGATTGTTATCGACGGATATTTTGAACAATGCTGGACGTTTCTCAATGATTGATCGTTATCGATAATTCGACTTCCAATTATAACCGTAATTCGAAAATACAAGATATATGAGATTTATCGCCATCAATCGCTGTCGATGACAATTCACGATTGTGAAATACAACTAAATTAATATTGATTGTCTGTTTGCTCGTCTTGTGTTATTTATTTATTCCTTACATGTACTATACGATCTTGAAAAGTTTCTTCTTAATTATAAAGCGATTTATGTTGTAGGCAAACAACTACGATATACAGTTTAACACGCACGTCTCTAGAATCGATCAATAATTAAATTACCGTAATGACCGCGTTGGGAATTGTTGAAAGATATTTTGCATGTTAACTTCATTGTTTTTATTGCGATTTATGATGCATTTTATGCGCCTGCAAAAGCGCCGTCTGGCATGCATTTTTGCATATATCCTTTGACGTGGAAAAAGGGCGCGGAGTAGAAGGTAGCGGGCAAAGAGTTTCGTGCATGCTTTATGATCTCGTCGCTACGTCGCTAAGTCCTCTCGACAAACGATCCTTTGTACATAAATACCTTGAATAAGAGCAGGGATGTTCTTATCTCCCATTAGTTCGTCGCGTAATTTCTCATTACAATGCGAAGATTACGGTTTCCTCAGAATTTCTGAATTTTAGTCACCTCTTCCCTTAGTTAATTTTATTTCCGCTCGAAAAATATCATTAGTACATGATCTCTTTAGACTTATTATTTATACGTACGCGTATAAATATATATAATCTAAATATTATTTTCTTAAGTAACAAATACTTTTATTTGAAAAAGATACCCCAGACACACACAAGTAAAAAACCATCTTCTTTTAATATTTATATTAATTTGGATTTCTTACTGCATTTTGTAATTGTAATAATTATATTAATTATATTAATTACATTATTACAATTACATTACTTGTAACTATAATATAATATAGTTTTCTAAAGTAAAAGTATAGCAAAGATAGTATAGATGTAAAACGCTATATAGATAAAATTTTGTATGTTGCTGTTCGCTTATATACAGTTACGCGGTACAATTAACATAGAACTCTCATGCGAATAAAACGAAAAGACATTCTCGAGTCATTAACTATCTGTCTTGAATAGAATCTTTTCGGCGAAATAAAAGCTGCTAAAATTACCCTTGTAACGAACGATATATCGAATTTGTCGAAAATTTCGTATTGTCATTGCCGTTCGATGATTTGCTCACCTGCGCAATATTTTTTTGAACGTTTCCGTGTAAAAGCTCTTCTTTTATCAGGAAAAATTGAAGGGTAACTTTAAAGGATGAGGGATGATCGCATGCGATCTCTCAGCTTTAGTTCGCGTTTCCGTTACAGATTTGCCATGTATCATAATATGCGATGTGTTGCTCGTAAAATTAACATATACTTTTTTTATAAATCAGATTCATATTATATTTATATCGTTTTAAAAAAACATAACAACGAGAAATAAAATTCACTCTGTGTCTCAAGACAGATTTCATTTACAATATTAAACTACGGTATTTTAAGAGCGTAAAGTGAACACAATTGACAATTGAAAGTTTTATACAAGGTTTGAGCTAGATTTTGATATTTAAATAATTCAATGTGATTTTTATATAGAGCTGGGCATGTAATTAAAATACTTTTATTTAAAACACAGTTTTCATAATAAAAGTAGATTTTATATTTTATATTTTAGCGGTATACAAAAAAGTATCACGTATTTAAAATTGAAAGATTGAAAACTTTATGTATTTAATAATTTAAATAATAACATTAATCGTCAATGTTATTATTTAAAATACAAAATACTTTCAAACTTTTACTATTAATACTGAAATACAAAATATAAAATACTTTTATATACTTTCATAAAATATAAAATGCAGAATATTTTCATGTACTCCGCTGAAATACAAAATATATGATACAATTGTTTTACAAATACTGTTTTCAAATAAAAGTATTTTAAATACATGCCCAGTCCTGATTTTACATATTCCTACAAACTACAAACCAAAATAAATTTTCAATTTTGAAACGCAGTCATAAACAGATCTAAAGTAATAATATCATAAATATAAGGTGTACAAATTAATTCTCGGTCCCTACCTTTCAGCGATATCAGAACGTTTAAAAGTTGAATTCCCACCCCCCCCCTCTATAGTCATTTTGAAATGCCATCTTTTAGCTTTAAAATGAGGTACAATCTTACGTACTTGATCCTCTTGTGAACATAACCTAAAAAGTCAGTAGTAAACATAATGTCGTTCGAAAAGTAACATTTGAGGTTAGCTTTCTTTTCGCATTTCAACCTAAAAAAGCGGCTAAGACAAAAGAAATGATTTGTTCAGCTTTGAACAAGAATGCTGCATCGTACAGTACGTTTAAAAAATGATTCCAACAGTTTCGAGAGGGAAATTTCGATCATGAGGATCGTGAATGCCATGGTCAATCAAAAAAGTGGAAGACGTGGAGTTGGAGGAAATTTTGAACGAGAATTTTTGCCAAACACAATTAGAACTTGCAAATACGCTTGGAATAACCAGTAAGACGTTTCCTATCGCCTAAAATAGTTGGGGAGGATTCGCAAGGAATCCCGATGGGTCCCTCATAAGCTCACTCCCGAATACAAAAGTAAACGCCACGATACTGCTCCCTCCTTGATCTCTAGATTAAAGAAAAATAATTTTTTACACAAAATTGTTACTCGTGATAAAAAGTCGATATTGTACGAGAATCCTAAGAAGCGAAAATCATGGGTCCGTCCAAGTGAGCCGTCAACGAGCATCGCAAAAAAGGTGTTGCTATGCATTTGGTGGGATCAAAAGGGCGTGATCCATTATGAGTTGCTCCGACAAGATCAGACCGTGACTGCTAAGCTCTATCAATAACAATTGATTCACGTAAATGAAAAAAAAAGTTGAAGAAAAAAGGCGATTTACTGGCAGTGGAAGAAGGAAGATGATATTGCTGCAAGATAATGCTCGGCTCCATACAGCAAAATACACTTTGGAAACCATTTCCGATTTAGGCTGGGAAATTTTTTCTTATGCGGCGTATTCTCCCGATTTAGTCTCTTCAGATTATCACCAATTTCGAGCCCTACAACATCATCTAACTGAATTTCGATTCAAGTCAGTTCAAAAGGTCAAAAAAAGCCTCGACGAATTCATTAATTCAAAGCCACCATCATTTTTCCGATCTGGAATCCGGAATGATACCGTATCAGTGCACCTCTTGCCCTGATGAAGTAAACGATATGGCTCACGAAACGTTGGTATTAATAATGAAGAAAGACACGGCGATAACCCGTAAAACTTTCTGGTATAATTGAAGAAAATATCCGTGAAAGCCTCAAAATCGATATAGATTATTTACTTACCTACTATTCTCTTTCATTCTCCTTCCATCTCGAGCACCGTCCGTTTCGAAATCGCTGCTTGGCAGATATACGATAATGTATTGTCAATTACCACACGGTTTAAATCAACTTCGAGATTTATTTTTTCGATGATTGACATGCGGCAATCGGTAGCTGAGGGAGTAAAGACGGAGAGAGAGAGGGGGGAGAGAGAGAGGGGGGAGAGAGGGAGGGAGGGAGAGAGGGGGAGGGGGAGAGGGGGAGGGAGAGAGAGAGGGAGAGAGAGAGGGAGAAGTAGGACGGCGCGGAAAGATGGTTGTGTCCAATTGGAATGAAATGGCAGAATCACAAAAAGAAATACATTTCTCCATCGGCCATTCCTACTCCGCGACCTCTCCAACTACGATGAAGGCTTGTATCACAAAACGATTTCGCGTCACGAGCAGAAATTTTCATCCCTAGTTTTGTCACGATGCGATGTCCTACGACTCTTCCTCCCCCCCCCCCGGCCATTGTTTTTGTCCGTTATGGCGCGCGGATCAGCGCGTGGAAATACATCGAGGGTTTTAATATATTCCGGAATTTCGATCGGCACGTACTGCTGCGGGAGCTGTCACGGCACGAATGGATGAGAGATGATAGATTCAATGAAATTAAATGACGGATCGCGGTATCTCTTTTTAATTTCGTCATTCTCCTACCACTTTCATGAAACGAATAAATTTCTATTGCCCTCGTTGCCTCGATCACGATTATGGAGATTTGAAAACATTGAATTTAAACTATACGTTTGTATCACACACATACACGACATACGCACTCGTGAATAAACTGCAGAATAAAGTCTTTTTTTATAAATTTCTCAAGAGAAAGCGCTACGCGTTTTTGCTAACTTCACATTCATAGATAATGTATAATTTTCTAAATTGGTACGCTTCTTACATTTCGACGATTTCGTAGAACGTTATTATTTCTTTCTTAACACTGAGAGACGAAGAAAAATTATTGCCTATAATTTAGACAAATTTTCCCTCTCACTTAAAGAGAGAAAGAATTGTTTTTTTTTATGTGTGTTGTGTGAGAGAAAAAGTTAATTTAGTTTTTCTCTCGGTCTAATATTAGTTAAATGCTTATAAAAAAGCGATTCCATATTGAAAAATTATTTAATAATCATGATGATTATTTCGAATATGTTTACTGATAAAAGATTTGAAGAGATAAAAAAATAATAGATATATATATCAGCTTATATTTTTACAAAATATATAAACACGGGTAAAATATCTTGCGATACAATTAAGTGTCTCACCAGAATCGAAGGTTACTTCGCTGACCATGATCCATCGATCCGAGAAATGGAGTCTCAACTTAACGAATTTTCCAACTCGATGATGAAGCTTGATCGTGACGTTCCGAGAAGTCTCGAAGATCTTGTCCTCCATGTACGTGTAGGTAATGGGTTCTCCCGTGTAGTATTTTCCGCCAATACTGAAGAGTATGTCAATTTGTGAAAACACCTGTGGTCCGAAAACACATGAATATACACGGAGTGTTCTAAATATGAATTAGTTGGTATATGAATAATATAATAATTGCGTAAAAGTAATGTAGGTTTGTTGAGTCGAAGGTATCATTTATTAATAAGTAACTCTAAGCCGAGAATGATAACACAGGTACGGATTACATACTGAATAAGCACTTCAGTAAAATTTATCATATGTATTACGCGCATGAGTGTCTCGTCTGTATGAAAGAGGAAACACAGTACATATCTCGCAACGACAAAATTCCTATTCCACCTTCCGAGCTACTTTTTCACCTCCTGAACAACCGCATCGCATGCTCGTAAATTTTTGACCGCGGATAGCATTTTTCAGGGCTGACTACTTTCGTGGTCGTAAATTCACGGATGACGACTTGACAGGAAAGGAATTCTGTCGTCACGGAATGCCCAGCCCTTACTTGCTCCCTGGTGAAATTGGAGTTGATGGAGATTATGCTGCAAAATTGCGCGGCCAAAATCAATTCCAATATTGATCGTCAATTTGTGTGATTAACTGAAGCTGTGATCTCATCGCAACGAGAAAAAAATGATTTCTGCTACGATTAAGCGGGGGTAACCCGGGCTGATATGAAATAAAACAGATTACGGTAGTGGATATTAGGCAAAATGGATGCCGTGTACACCGCGGGACGTTGATGGATAGAGCCGACTCGAAAACCTTACCGTTCGAAGAAGATTTACCGACAAAGTAGAATGCGGATCGTTCTCGTATGGTTGGAAGTATCACAAAAAGCCGTTACACTTTTGAGAACGTTATAAAAGTTTAATGTGTCCCTAAAGTTCGATGGAGTATATGATCTGACCATAAATCAACTATTATCCGAGGTATTATCCGTGCAGGTCGCGCTAGCTTTTTTGTTAGTGGAAGTGTATCGAAATTGCATCCATACAATATACTTTTATTCGTTCGCTGGACTTGACTTCACAATTTGTTCTTTCTTTCTTTCTTTTTACAATAGTCCATGTCAAAATATCATTTTTCGCGTCAGCGCGCAAGTCGTAATCCGTTGGTAGATGGAGAAAGAAAAAACGATGTCGCGCGCCGATCTCTTTCTTTTTGCGAAGAATAATGAATTCGTGAAGTTACAAACACGTACAAAATCAGATTCTGTAGCGTAAATATCGGAAAGCACAGCGCAATTATCTAAACGGTATCGTGTGCGAAGTGAATATTGCTTGTTGAATATTCGTAAGTCACGATTCATTTGAAATTCCGAATATCCATCTTCAATGACGACGATAGCCTTAACGACGCGGCGACGATGATAACGACGACGACGCGATGGATAATCTAGAATTCCGTAAGTTTCGATTAATGTCGAATAATTTCCGAGGGAAGATCTTAAGTGGATGATAGACTTTATTACTGTTGCAAGCACGCTCGGCCTTTTTCCCATCTTGACTTATGCAGTCTACTACGGACTTACCGAATCTGGAGTGTAATTCGAGGAATTCTGTGTGCACTGTATTTCGTTGGAATTGGAACGGAGAATATATCATATTGCGTAAAGTTGATTGTCAAGGAATATATCGGTGGACCTACATGTAACAATTTGTAAGCGCCGACCCTATAAAAGTTGCCAAATTACCGAGTTGCGCGATATAAAGTAAGTTTTCTCTGTACTTTATTTAAGTGAATGTATTTATTAATAAAGATATATGCAGTTTCTCCTGTAACATCTTTATCTCAAGAAATTTAATATTCTTAGAAAGAACGTCTATTATTCGATAATGCATAATGCATTTTATACTATGCAATCCAAAATTCAGAAAGAAAATAAGAAAAACTTAAGACAATTAAGGCGATCATATCGATATATAATATAATCCTCTTATAATGACTGTAACAATATCGTTACAGTCATTAAATGTCACAGAATAGGATTAAAAATTGGAAAGCAATGAGATCAGTCGATGCGATTTCTGGTTCGTCATACCTGAAGCTGCAGAGCTCAGCAATGCTTTTAGGCTCGTGCAAACACGCGAGATAATAACGCGTTGCCAAATTTCTCCACGATGTCTGTATCTTGCTGTCTCGTATTTTACAAGTTTGATAGTTATACAACCATACTATAGAAAATCCGGAATACATTTCCAATGATGCGGTAGACAGGGGGAGTCGGCCTATCAGATACGGTTATTCTAATCCGCGTTATGTAAATCCAATTTCCAGAGGTTTATCTAGCGGCAATGGCAGCCGGGAGTGATATACCGTGCAGCGGGAAGACGCGAGATTCGATGGTAACAGCAGGTAGTATCGACATGTCGATGCACCTTGCGCGTAGGTGATGCATGAAGATAGGTCTCTATAAAACTCGTTTGAACTTTTCATGCTACGTTACCGTCGAAAGTCTCTGGAAAGATGAAGAGATATATATTTTTACACATGCATACGTAAAAGTACGTGGATGCACACGCGGACTGTCATACATAATTTGATACGCGTATCATAATATTCATAATGTATACTCTCTAAATTTCTTGGAACAAAATTTCACTCTAAAAGAGTGTAAATGCTGCTACTATTTAAAAAGAGTGAAAATATTTACATTTTTGAATAAGAGTGGCAGATTTTCAATTTTTTTTGGAGTGTGATTTATTACAAAGGAAAAAATCTCACTCCTTTTTTTGTGGAAAGAATCTGACACCAAAAAAGAATCTCACTTCCAAAAAAAAAGAATGAAAAAATCTGCCGTTCTCTTTTATTCAAGAGTGCAAACCATTTTACTTTTTTTTAGTGGCAATATTTTCACTTTTTAGAGTAAAATTAGAATGAAATTTTACTTCAAGAAATTTAAAGAGTAAACAAAATTCATATTTTAGAACATGTTTAAAAATGCTACAGACGTGTATTTGCGAAAAAAGTGAGTACTAGTTGTATTAAAAAAACTTGGGTACAGTGTTATGAAGGCCTAATTCCACTAATATAAGATTAACTTTAATCTTGGTTTAACTTACCGTTTACGTTTCTCTAATTAGAATTAGAAAAAATGAAGAATAAATTAAACCGAGATTGAAAAATTGTATAATTTTATATTGGTGGAATCGGGCTTATGTGTCTATATACTAAGCTCTAAGATAAATGTTTTGGTATCTACGTACAACCATTTATTCTATTGTAAATCTAAAATATGGGTAAATGTGTCGATGAGGGGACCCCCCTCCAATGACTTTGACCTTGACATATGTTATCAAGGTCATGATTCTGAGTAACTTTGCCTTAACAACTAGCCGTCGCTCGCCCTTCGTTAAAAAGTTATTAACAATTATAGTTTTAAAATAGTAAATGTCTCAATCAGGGGACCTCCCTCCAATGACTTTGACCTTGACATATGTTGTCAAAGTCATGATCCTGAGTAACCCTCAACAGGTTTTAGTTGTCGCTCGTCCTTCGTTAAAAAGTTATTAACAATCATAGTTGTAACGTATGCTATACATGTATGATATGAAGTACTATTCTACACCTTTCCCTGTTCAGAAACGTTGAATTTTCCAAGCGAAGTAACTTTCACCCCCCCCCCCCGCACAGGGGCACACGACTTCTACGATTGTACTATTGCTGTGATTGTACT